GGAAATAAACGCGGGGGGCGGGGCCCAGCGCTCCCAGTGCTCCCAGTACCCGCCCAGTGCCTCCCAGTTCTGCCCAGTTGCGCTCCCAGTACCTCCCAGTACCTCCCAGTACCTCCCAGTTCCGCCCAGTTGCGCTCCCAGTTCCACCCAGTGCTCCCAGTGCCCGCCCAGTCCGCTCCCAGTGCTCCCAGTTCCACCCAGTATCTCCCCAGTGCTCCCAGTACCCGCCCAGTATCTCCCAGTGCTCCCAGTACCCTCCCAGTATCTCCCCAGTGCTCCCAGTACCCTCCCAGTCCACTCCCAGTGCTCCCAGTACCCACCCAGTATCTCCCAGTTGCTCTCCCAGTTCCGCCCAGTGCTCCCAGTACCCTCCCAGTCCGCTCCCAGTGCTCCCAGTACCCGCCCAGTATCTCCCAGTTGCTCTCCCAGTTCCGCCCAGTGCTCCCAGTACCCTCCCAGTCCGCTCCCAGTGCTCCCAGTTCCGCCCAGTATCTCCCAGTACCCACCCAGTGCTCCCAGTACCCTCCCAGTCCACTCCCAGTGCTCCCAGTTCCGCCCAGTGTCTCCTGGTGCCCTCCCAGTATCTCCCCAGTGCTCCCAGTACCCTCCCAGTCCGCTCCCAGTGCTCCCAGTACCCGCCCAGTATCTCCCAGTTGCTCTCCCAGTTCCGCCCAGTGCTCCCAGTACCCTCCCAGTCTGCTCCCAGTGTGCTCCCAGTGCTCCCAGTTCCACCCAGTACCCTCCCAGTTCCGCCCAGTGCTCCCAGTACCCTCCCAGTCCGCTCACAGTGTGCTCCCAGTGCTCCCAGTTCCACCCAGTATCTCCCAGTTGCTCTCCCAGTTCCGCCCAGTGCTCCCAGTACCCTCCCAGTCCGCTCACAGTGTGCTCCCAGTGCTCCCAGTTCCACCCAGTATCTCCCAGTTGCTCTCCCAGTTCCGCCCAGTGCTCCCAGTGCCCTCCCAGTCTGCTCCCAGTGCGCTCCCAGTTCCTCCCAGTATCACCCAGTATCCTCCCAGTGCTCCCCGTGTCCTCCCAGTATCACCCAGCGCCCTCCCAGTAGCCTCCCAGTTGCTCCCCCACTGTCCCCAGTACGTCCCCAGTGCTCCCAGTACCCTCCCAGTCTGCTCCCAGTTGCCCCCCCAGAGCTCCCAGTATCACCCAGTGCTCCCAGTGCCCTCCCAGTATCTCCCCAGTGCTCCCAGTACCCTCCCAGTCTGCTCCCAGTTGCCCCCCCAGAGCTCCCAGTATCACCCAGTGCTCCCAGTGCCCTCCCAGTATCTCCCCAGTGCTCCCAGTACCCTCCCAGTCTGCTCCCAGTTGCCCCCCCAGAGCTCCCAGTATCACCCAGTGCTCCCAGTGCCCTCCCAGTATCTCCCCAGTGCTCCCAGTACCCTCCCAGTCTGCTCCCAGTTGCCCCCCCAGAGCTCCCAGTTCCGCCCAGTGCTCCCAGTAACCTCCCAGTACCCACCCAGCGCTCCCAGTGTCCTCCCAGTTCTGCCCAGTATCTATCTCCCAGTGCCCGCCCAGTGTTCCCAGTCCGCTCCCAGTTGCTCTCCCAGTGCTCCCAGTACCCTCCCAGTACCTGCTCAGTGCTCCCAGTGTCCTCCCAGTTCTGCCCAGTATCTATCTCCCAGTGCCCGCCCAGTGTTCCCAGTCCGCTCCCAGTTGCTCTCCCAGTGCTCCCAGTACCCTCCCAGTACCCTCCCAGTACCTGCTCAGTGCTCCCAGTGTCCTCCCAGTTCTGCCCAGTATCTCCCCAGCACTCCCAGTCTGCTCCCAGTGCTCCCCCAGTGTCCCCAGTACCCTCCCAGTACCCACCCAGTGCTCCCAGTCTGCTCCCAGTGTCCTCCCAGTACCCTCCCAGTGCCCCAGTCCACTCCCAGTTGCTCTCCCAGTGCTCCCAGTACCCTCCCAGTACCCGCCCAGTGCTCCCAGTACCCTCCCAGTCTGCTCCCAGTGCTCCCCCAGTGTCCCCAGTACCCTCCCAGTACCCACCCAGTGCTCCCAGTCTGCTCCCAGTGTCCTCCCAGTACCCTCCCAGTGCCCCAGTCCACTCCCAGTTGCTCTCCCAGTGCTCCCAGTACCCTCCCAGTACCCGCCCAGTGCTCCCAGTCTGCTCCCAGTAGTCCCCAGTGCTCCCAGTGCAGGGACAGGCAGGGATGGGGCTGGGCGGGTGCTGCCTGCTGCTGCATACTGGTGCCATACTGGGTCCTACTGGTGCCATACTGGT